ACATAAACAGTAATAAACTCACACAAGTATCTGAAAAATACATATATTGTGTGTAGGCCTAAACAATAGGAGAGTAATGAACAATTCAGAAGGTTACAATCCTAACAGCTCTTTCTCACATCTATAAAATAGTATTAGATCATGGAACACATAAGCACTATACAGTGAAAAAACGTCATTCTTAAAGGACAACGGAGAGAAAGAAAAGAGAGCATGAGAGGGAGGGAGGGATGACAAAAGGAAAAAAGGAAGGACGGAAGGAGGGAGGGAGGGGAAAAAAGCAATTATAATGTGAAAAGGCTATTGTAGCTCAGATTCTCTACATACATGTTTATAAAAAAGGATTTTTCCTTCAATTTTTACATATGGTTGGCATGATATTCACTACAGCAATAAATTATAAAGCTACTTATATAAGACAGAAAACAAAATTATTAGGAACACACCGAAATCATCAGTAATCACAGTAAAGTTATTTAATAGTGATTCTGGGAGAAAAGAGAAGACCTGTTTAATTATGGAAATTATATAAAAACTAAACTCAGGGGCAGCAAGCTAGGTAACATCTACACAAACATCCTTAATGTATTTCAATAAAATGAAGAGAAATCACATGTTATCTTAAAAAGATATTTAGATTTCATTTATGTGACATTCTCAAAGGCAAAATTATAGACAGAAAGTAGATCAGTGTTGGCTGGAGGTGGTAGTGGGAGGGGCTGATGACAGAGGAGCACAGGGAATCTTCTGGAATGATGGAACTGTTCTGTGTCTTTTTTGAGATTTTTTAAATATTTTTTATTGATTTATAATCATTTTACAATGTTGTGTCAAATTCCAGTGTAGAGCAAAATTTTCCAGTTATACATGGACATATTGGAACTATTCTGTGTCTTGATTGTGCTGGTGGTTACATGACTGTGTCCATTTGTCAAAACTCACAGATCTTTACCTCAAAAGGGTGAATTTTATTGTATGTAAGTTATACCTTAATCTTTTAATGGGGAAAGAACATTTAGATCTATCTTTACAGAGCTTTTAAAAAGAAACCAGAAGTACATTTTAAAAATGACAAAGAAATGGACTTTAACCACAAATAACCTGAAGGGTTCGATAAAAACAAAAGATTGCTTCTTAATCAAAACAGTAATGACATTGCAACAGGTTCATTTTCTCTGACTCTGATGCACTTACTTTTTTTCTGGCTGCTTACTTGATTCATTAAATATAGAAGAAGAAATGTTAACAAGATCCACTGGAAATTTGAAGTCATCCTCATTCTTTTACTGTCCACCATCCGGGATGGTTGTTTCAAACATAAAAAAATGTCCATCATCCGTGCAATGCAGTCAGTCCTGGATGAGGAGAAGAATTTCAAATGGTGCTCAAACTGGTCCACAGACATACCTTACCCAGTGCATATCAACACTGAAAATGGATACTGACAAATACCGAAACACACTGCACATTAAAACCATGGAGACACTAGACTCAGCTGCTCTGGCTTTAGGAGACGTGACAGTCAAACACAGTTGTTGCTCTGGGCGCTATCAGAGGGTCAGTTTTCAAATGATGGGCTTCAGGTTCAAGATTATAACTGAGTACATACTTATCAACACTCCAGTACTGCTAGAGTATAGAAAAGCAGTGCATAAAACCAAGGTTCTGACAATTTTAAGTGATACATGAAATGAAGTTTTTAATTTTAATTGGTACATATTAACTTTTATAGTTCTTTATTTATGACAAGAAATGTTGGTTTTCTTTTTCATGTACACTGTGATATAAAGTTTCTACTTCACTTAAATTTTAAAAGGTTAAAGAAAAAATTCAGGGTAATTAATAACATATGGGGGACTGCAGACGTGACAAAAGTATTGACAATGACACACAAATGTCTAAAGCGTAATAAACACTGCAACAACTACAGTGGGAAGGGATCACTGAGAGACTAGAGATTTCAACACATTGCTATGGAAAACAGAAAGCATACAGACGAGCAGGGACTGGCTCTGGTGGGCAGTAGGGAGGGGAAGCAATGGAGGGATGTGGTGTTCAGCCCAAGAACTCCGTAAGATTCCCGTCAGCAAATGCTGAGAGACAGCCGACCAAGTGCCAGGCCCTCCTCCAGGCACCAGAGGTGCAAAACTAAACTAGACAAAGTCCCTGCCCTCCAGGTGCTTAGGTTCTAGTTTGGAGAGAAACATACATAAACAAGTAATAAATTTAAGATCCTGGCACACACTTTAAAAACCAGAGTCAGTACATGTGTGAGAGTGTGCGAGTGAAGGTCTGTTATTCGAGCTGGGATCTGACTGATGAGAAGACTGCCGCGACAGTACCGCGGGAGAGAGCAGCAAGAACAGGCACGCAGACCTGAAGGTAAGGATGGGCCTCCCAGGTTCAAAGGTCAGGAAGAGAGGCTGAGAGGCAGTGGGCTGGTCAGGGCACAGAGGGCCTTATGGCCATCAAAAGGATACAGAGTTTAATGGGGTGGAGACAAGAAGCCACTGGAGCATTTTAATCAGGGGAGATCCATGATCCAATCTGCACTTTGGAAGGATTTCTCTAGCTGCTACGTGGAGAAGTCTGCCAGCCAACAAGGCCTCCAAAGGTACTGAAAACTCCTTGTCAGACTTAATAGTGCCTCATTCGTATATTGGAATGGACAACAAAGGATCATAAAACATGCAAGCAAAGCCTAAATCATTAAAGATAAATTCAGGATAAACAAGGTCGCCAAAAGGAAAGAAAAATTAATCCCAGAGGAAATAGGAATAATGTGAGAAAGAGGAAAATCAAACAAATAAACAAACAAACAAACAGAAAACCACCTCTAAACAGTATTCTCCAAGCAGACATGGCACAGCCATAAAACAAGGGGATGCAATAAAAAATGAATAACCAGAAATAAAAATAGCTCTTGCATGATAAATACATTGGTGGATATTAAAAGATTTTGGATGACAGACAAAACATTGAGCCATCTTTCAGGATAACCAAAAGACAAAAACGTAAAATGTGAGAAGAGATATGAGAAACAGGGACTTGACAGAGGAAAGGTGATCCAACATCTAAATAACTGGAGGCTAATAAGAGAACTCAAGAAACACTCTTCTGCGACAGCAAGTGGCAAGGATGGCTACTTGGCTACTGTTCAGTACTTTCAAAAACTCAGGAAATGAATCCCAAATGGTGTAAATAATTCTAACCAAAACATACACGAGGCACAAGTACACATTTCAAAAGTGGTCAAGTATTTTGTGGATGAATAACTTCCTGGTCAAACACAGTGTCGCCAAGCTTACCTATTAAAATGAAAATGTATTCATGGAATGCCTAATCGCTAAAGTTACAGAATTACATGGCATGTACAGGAATAACTGAATAAAGGAGACCAAACTTGACCAACCCATGACTAAAGCATCACAAACCATATTCACTGACTGGCTAAACATTATTTTGAAATGAGACAGTCCCTCACTCCAAGTGTACAGTTCTTCTAGAAAAGAGGGGTGTGTCCCACCAAGTGGCAGGTGGGGGATGGAGGCAGCCAAGGACGAGCTCTGCACTGGGTTCTGTGGACTTAAGACTCTCATCCTGGCTCCATTACTAATTAGCAGCATGACTGAGCGCAAATCACTTAATTCCCCCGGGCTTCAGCCTCAACCACGGCAGGGCGGAGGCAAGCCCTTCTCAGGGTCCACAGGAGAGCCATCCCCAGGTTACACTGTAATATTCCATTCCTGTTGGCAGGCACAAGCCAGCAGTCGGCAGCTCACTGGCACGAGGTCAGCAGTGCCATTAACAGCCACCAATCAGGGACACCACCGGGAAGGTCTGCGAGGGTCAGGGTGGAGGTACCCGGGAACAGAAGAATCAACAGCACTGTCACCACTGCCAGCTTAGCTGAAAATAGGCAGGGTGATAAAGAGGACTTTCTTGTTATAACATTTACGTACGAAATTTTGAGCAAGCCATTTAGACCATATAATATTATGCTTGTAATAGACCTGGCTTCTCTACCAAGAAAACTTTCAAATGGACTTATTTAAGGCCAGAATAATACATGAACAGAGCCTTGCAGTGTACTTCAGGAAAACAAGGACATGTGAAACTTGTCTCTGCTCCCTTCTGATAGAAACGTTGTCAGAACTTACTTTTTTTCCCACCGATTCCTTATTCCTTAGAGGAAAGCACATTTTTTATAGAATTTCAGGAGCTAATTTTCAAAATTACGATAGCTGTCCCTAGACACACAGAAGAATGCAAATGCAAATGCCTAGAAGGGCAAAACAGGTAAGAAACGACACAGGCAGGTGCTAACCGGAGCTGTGTCCATGGCAGGGAGAGCCACTTGCTCTGAGGGAAGCCAGCAATGGGCTTGTTTTGCCAGATTTTCTGCTTTTTCAAGACAAGGTAGCAATCTGGGATTTTACATGAAACACTCAAATTTGTAAACTTACGCAACTGATTCATATTTTTCCAACATTCTAAAGGCCAAGCAAAACACACCTTCTGACTGCATTCTGCACAAGGACGACCAGTTTGTATCCTGTGCAATGTAATTAAAGGATTCAAAAATGTCAATGAGCCCTTCTGTTTAGGAAAATCAATCGTGCGGAATCAATTTATAAAATTGCTGAATAGGAAAAAAAATCTGTTTTTTGTTTGGTTGTCTGTGTTTCTCTGCAGGTATCCTGACCTGTCTCAGGCAGGCAGCCGAGCAGCCTGAGCGGGGCCCATGTGCAGAGCTCCGCCCCAAACCGCAGAGCGCGGGCCCCTCCTGTGACAGCGGGGCATCCACACGGGCACCAGCACCAGCTACCTTCCCCTGGGCTCTGAGAGTTCTGGCTCCAGTCTCTGAGAGTTTTGGACCTTTCTGCTGAGGACAATTAGAAAAAAGAGGGGAGAAAAGTGAAGCTAAAGGCAGAGAGGCACCAGAAACTGTATTCCTGACATATCTTGTTTAGGGTGTTGTATTCATTTTTTCCCTTTGCAGGGTGGGTAGGGAGGCAGGTGGGCAGAGAGGGAACGGGGAACGTGACAGAGAGCATTCTGCCGGCAGGAACCCACCCCAGCCTGGGACGGGGCTGCGGAAACACCTGCTCAGTCAGGAGAGGTGAGTGAAAAAGGGGACCCAAAGCCTCTTTATCTCGAGCCTCTATCTTTGTCACCACAGTGAGATAACTCCCTTGTCATTAACTCACAAAGGAATGAAACACTGGAGGGAGAAAAGCTGCTTAACTACATACAAGACAGCAAAATAAATGCAGAAGCAGGTCGCAGAGTCTACAGGACATGCCAGGATGGCGCCCGAGCCAGGGAGACCAAATGGAAAGCAGCGTCTGTACTGCCGATTCCTGCTCTTCTTAGTCTCCTTTTCTTCACTGCTTTCTGTCAGGGAACATAACAAATCACCTGAAAACCGTGAGCAGCAACCACTTTCCTAATTCTACTCCCCCCCACCCCCTCCAAGGTCCTAACTTCCTGCAGCACTGCCTCTGCAGGAGGCCTCTCCGACCGGAATCCTGGTGGCTGGGTAGACGCTGTGGTACCAGCAAAGCGCAGTGCGGGGATGTAAGGACAGGAGAGCACCCGTGAAAACCCCAGCCTGGCTGGATGGGGAAGCTCGGTGTGGGAAGGCAGACTGAGACGAGGCTGTGCGGGGAGACGGAAAGGCTTTAAGGGAGGGGGAGTTTGAAGGAAGTAGTGTTTTAAGGAGCTTAATTAAGAGACACTTGCAATAACAGAAAGACATACACAGAATCCACTTTCAACTATAAAAATCTAGTCCTCAAAGAGCTCCCCAAGTAGCCAGCACGAGGAATTTAAAAAGATTTCTTCCACAGAGGAGCACTGAGAACAGAAGACGAGGAGAAATACTTCCAGGGAGCAGGGGTCCACACGGGGCTCAGGAAGGAGAGCAGTGTGGGAACAGCTCCCTGAACCCAGCAGCCATCCGGCGTCACCCGGGGAAGGTGACAGGGCCATCGCCGGTGGCCGTGGGTGCACATGCAGGAGACACTGGGTGTGCGATCAGTGAACATTCTAGGGGTCCTGGGGCAGGCTGGGGAGGCTGGGCCAGGGGAGAAGGGGATGCAGACTTCTTAGCACTAACAGCTAAAGAGAGCATCTTTCAAAAGCTGAGTGAGAATTATTTTCACACTGGAATTCTATACTCAAACTACTGATTGAGAGAATGACATACATTATATACAGACACGCCAGCTCTCAAAAGATATTCCTTCCCAGCAGCCGTTCTCTGAAGGTTACTAGAAGATAGGATTCAGGGAAAAAGAAAAGAGGTAGAAAACCAAAAATGACCCATGAAACTGAAGTTTTAACTCAGGAG